CAGAGTACCCAACAGATTTTAATGTAATATAAAACAAATTGAAATACAATGCTTAACTTAAGAGCTTGTGGTTTTAGAAAGATTAATGTGCATTTACTTGTTTATGCAGTCCTTACACCTTTTAGCTATCAGGTGATTGAAAATGTCCTGTTGTTACCTTGTCTGAACACAAACTCGATTAATACTTTAAAAACAGTTCACAAGTGTCTGAGCTACTTTCAAGACACGATCTTGAGTGCTTGCTTGTTTAGCTTTCACTTGCCAACTCGCTTTGTTACTTGTTTAATACGTTATGTTCGAGCACATGGTACTTCTCTTAGCAAACATCTTCTTGCTAGCAGCAGCATCGGACCCCTCCGTCTCGTTGTCTTCACCAGAGCAGCGGAGTGTTCTACTATGCCAGCCTCAGTCACATGCGAAGAGAGGAGTTTCTTTTCACTGATGTTTAATGTGGTCTTCCTTTATGCCAAACGCCAGCACCTTACACCAAACATCGTAGAACTAACAAACAAGATAAATATAATGGAAATAAACAACCACGTCATTTCACATCACATAGACATGGTGCAACAATAAATTCATAAACAAAATGAGACATACCACTTTGGCTTGCTTGTGAGCAAAGGCTGGTAGTAAAACTCAAACTTCTTAAATTAATGTCTTAAGTGTCATTTTCTTCTGTCCCTTTCTCTGCTGCTAGTCTTCTCTCTCTCGTCGAAGGACCGGAAGTGGCACAGCGGAAACAATAGTTCCGACAAAACAAAACTTATGGGACTAATCGTATTCAAAATAAAACTCTATCAATATACAAAAACAAATACCATTCATAATGTTGCATAAGAAATACAAAACACATAAACAAAATGTGCAACTTCATAATGGCCTTCACAGGATGCATAAAAATCTGCACAGACTCCATGACAGCATCTACAAACCCCAAAGCCGTCTCTGCTCCAAACATCATCAAAAAGTCTTGAAAAATATAAGAGATAGCAAATCAAATTACTGTCACACAAGATAAATCACGTCATAAGTGTTTTCCAAATTAGTTACTTACAAGGGCTTTAGCAACCAAGAAACCTTGAGTGACAGCCCCAAGGATGTGAAATTCCTTTGTTGCTGTACTTAGAGCTCTTCTGCAAAAACACAGAGCGAGATGTTCCAGCCTATTGATTATACAGATCACCAGTTGTATGTAAAACACAACCCTTCTTTAATTCTTTAACACCAGTTTGTTTAAGTTTGGTTTTCAACTCAGGCCAACTGCTGTGTAAAAGGATGAGTAAATTTGTTGTGTGGGTACTGTTGATGACAAGTTGGACCAGCTGACAGATGGTTGGGAAGCATCTGCTAGACTGGTCAGAATTCCCTGAGCTGACAATATGTTTGGGGCAGGCGTGACATACAAATAACGTTATTAGCCCCAGAAAGTCCTTCACAGCGTAAAATACTGTTTAAAAAATTTAAATGTTAGTCTTACCTGCATCATGATGAGGTCCCCGTGAAGACAGTAGGTGTGGTGATGATGTAAGACCAACCAACAGAAAATGGAGAAAGGTAAAGCACTCTTACATGGACATTTTCACTTTAAATCTCTTCCGCACGGCAGAGTTGATGGAACCAAAGTCATTTGTAGCCACTGCAAAGCTGAATTTTCTCATCGCCCGAGTACTTCGAGTCTGAAGTATCACTTAAATGCAATACACACCGTTGATGCCAGCAAATCACCCACCCAAACAAACAGTGAGGGAGGCTTCAGCTGACTACGTTGGATGTAGCGTGTGGGAGAAGTATAGATAAACAAAAGCAAGACAAGCTAACAAATGCCATAGCTGAGTGGATAGTTACAAACTGCAGGCCGATTAGTATTGTGGAAGATGTCGGTCTGAGGAACATTATTAGGATCGCAACCATTGACAGCACGTATGAGCCTCCCTCAAGAAGCACCATCACAAGAAGAATACACGAGTTGTATGAAAAGGGGAGGACTACAAAATCGACGGCGTTACAACGTGCACCAACTGTTGCTCTTGTTAGGTATTTTTAGTCAGATAGATATTGGTTAGGTACTTTATGTATTAGAAATGTTTAGAGGAGTCAGGATGTCTAGGTAGGCTGTTAAATGCTTAGTCATTCTAATGAGTTTTTGCAGGATGCTTATGGTCAAGGATAACTAGAGAGAAAAGTTGATGACTGTTAGAAGACAGGATTATTATTATTATGATGATGATGTGTTTACTAACCGTAATCGTAATCATAATATTTTCTTATGTTTAATGTCATGACATGTCACTAGATGTCATGTCAGAATGTTTTTAGATACACACCACTTAATCAACAGACACACACACATTGATTTACTTCATGTTTTGACTACTGCTATGGCCAGCTGCAAAGCTGGCACCAGGGACACGTCACGGTTGACGTTCCTGTGTAGAATGGGGTTAGCCCAAAAGAGATATAATGTACAGGCCTGGTGGGTTCGGGGTCTTTCATCTTCCAGCTGCCTGCGTGCATGTTGGAGGTGCAAGATACCTGAGCATGTAATGTTAATTTGTACCTGTGATCATGGAATAAATCAGCACCGTTTTGTAGTTACTTGGACTGCCTCGTCTCTCAGAGTTAGCATGGCTGAAAAGAACCGGAAGACTTCACTCTCACTGGAGACTACTGGACATCGCAGGGTAACCATAATTACCTCAGAGTTACAGCGCATTATATTGATATTATATTGATGAACAGTGGGAGCTGCATTCACATGCTCTACCTGTAATGAAGACAGAAGATAGACATTTTGCTGAAACGTGCGCAGAGCATTTCATTCATGTTGCACAGCAGTGGAACGTTTCAAATAAAGTCAGCACACTTAGCACAGATAGGGCAAGAAATATGATCGCTGCTGCAAGACACCTGCCTTTTGAACACGTCCCCTGCGTCGCGCACAGTCTCCACTGTTCTGTCACAGTTTCTCTGCAGAACACATTGAACGTGGACAAAAGAAGGAGTCGCTTATACAAGACATTCCATCCAGATGGAATTCGACTCTGGACATGATAAAAAGCGTCCGCAGAAATGAACAGCCACTGAGGGATGTCCTCACCACACACACCACCAAGATTGTCATGCCAACTACAGCTGAAATGGACAAACTGCAGAGGTTGGAAACGCTACTGGACCCCTGCAGGTATATTTTACTTCACATATTTCTCACTATCCTGTCTGAGTGCATGTGAGAGAGAAATAGAGTTTCTGTATGTGTGTGTGTAAATATAGTATGAATATGTAGAGGACATTTTTGTGTGTATATAAGTAAGTGAATGCAATACATTTTGACTGAAATTTGTTTGATTTTTTTTTTCTATTACAGGTATGTGACTGAACTTCTGGGAGGAGAAAAATACGTTTCATGCTCTGTGGTTCTGCCTGCTTTTTGCCATCTCCCTCGGGTGATGGAAACCTCAGATGAGGACCCTGCCTACGTGGTCAAATTCAAGTCTACATTCAGACAGACCTGGAGACACGCAAGGAACGTGCCAACATTGCATATCTGAAGATTGCTACCGCATTGGACCCAAGATTCAAGGACCTCAAGTGTATACCCAGAGCTCAGAGGGGTGAGGTGTGAGCCTCAGTCACCAGCTTACTCAAGGAACACAGGGTTGTTGCAGAGAAACCTGTGGAAGCAACAACATCAGAGCCACCAAAGAAAAAGTTAGCCTTGTTGGCTTGTTGGCTTCATCAGTCTGATTCTGAACAGGAGGAAGACTCAGATGAGAACAGTGTGTGACAATACAGAGCGGAGCCCACCATCAGTACAGAGGTGTGTCCATTCGAGTGGCGGTCCAAACATGCAGGCTCACACAGCAGGCTGGCCCCCATTACACAGAAATACTTGGCCACACCTGCAACATCCGTACCCTGTGAAAGATTGTTTTCTTTTGCTGGTCATATTGTACAGAAGAAGAGAGTTTCTTTATCATCTGAAAATGTAAATGACCTTGTGTGTCTGAACAACTGGCTTGGTGTAGAGGAGTAGGAATAAGTCCCCTACACAGTAAATCCCAGCTGTGTACGTTTTTTTTGTGCTCTTCCACTTCACCTCACTCTAACAGGGACACTTGCTACTGAACATTTGACTGTTTATGCTGCTCCCTGATAAAAGAAAAAATGTTTCTGCTGTTATCTGTTCAGAAAAAAGAAAGAAAACAGGTTTATAAATGTTGCTGCCTGTTATGTTATGATTGTGGCTCTGGACTCTGAGGATAACTTGTTTTTCTATAACAAACTAAATAAAGCATTAATGCCCTGGCAGTGGCAAATAGCTTTGGTTTTATATTTGATTTGATTACATTGTTTGAGATTTGCTGCTACTGTGTAAAGGGAATGCTTCTGTTAAAAAGCACCTTATTTGTTTAAAGTGTTTGCACGTTTGTTCATATAGTGGTACTTTTCAAATAAATGCGCAATACACTACTTTGGAATTCATTATTGAATGCTGCTCATATCAATACAGTTAATCACTGTTAATCTCAGAAAAATCATGTAGTTAATTCAATTAACGATTTTAATCATTGCCCAGCACTAGAAATAATATATAACATATACATTATATTATATGAATGCAGACATATTATTACCAGACACAAACAAGCTGTGCCCGCAGAATTCTGACGTCATCACCACAGACTTACCACGGATTTTGAAAAGAAATAGAAACTCTGAAGTGATTTGATTTTATTTGATTTATTCTTTCAAGCATGTAAAGACAGTTGATATATTAACACACATAATTTTACACATATCCAACAAATGCTAATCCAATATCAATTTGCTTATACCTAGTACATGCTTGAATGGAGTAGGAAGAAGTCAGACTTATCTAGTCCTACCCCATGACATCATCTTACCATCATTGGTTTGCAAGCAGTATCTCTACATAGATAATTCTCTTCTACACCACACAAGTAATATACTAAAAAAAATTTTAAAAAGTGCGTGTTACAAATGAACACATAAAGATACTAGACTCAGTTACAGATTTTAGAAACGAGATTTATTGAACAATGTGTGTGTTTGAGAAGGCGTGTGCTAAACAGAGAATGACAGATGTAAGTGCATTAATAACAGTATTATACTCGTGCTGGGAGACAGGAACCCTGTACTTAGTTATGAAGTGCTCATATGACAATAGAACTCCATCACAGTTAAACAGCTGCTTGACAAGTAGAATGTTATTGTTAAACCAATTTTCAAAGAACAAGGATTCATTGTTTTAAGTGATAATGGCATTATTCCATAAAAACAAATATTTATGAGGAGAGTAGTTGTGCTTATACAAGAGAGACCAGCTCATAAGGGCTGATTTGTGGAAGTTGGAGGGTTTGACTGGGAGCTTTCCCACAGCGAAGGGACACATTAATAAGAAATTAAGACCACCAACCATTTTAAATAGGAAATTTGGAATGATATTCCACATGCTATCTGGATTTTTTTAGAAATCTTTTGATCCAGTTGATTTTTATAATATGGTTAAATGAAGAAAAATCTAGAACATTAAGCCCTCCCCTCTGTAAGAAGTAAACACATAATTTCCTTTTTAACCTTGTGTGGTTTATTTTTCCAAATGAAATCAAAAAGAAGTCTGTCTAAGCAAGACATCTTTTGTTTAGTGACGTTAATTGAGGAAAAAAGATATAAAGTATATACAACACAGTGACAAGTCTACACAACACAAGCATCATGTACACGTGTACCTGGCACACACCCACACACACACACACAACACTGTCTTGTTGGCACTGGGCATCAGCCACAGTTTACAACAAGTTGCAGTCTGGTAGTCTTTTATTTGATAGCTTTGGGAATATTGTGTCATAATCTGGAATCTTCTTGAAGAGCTCTATGACTTGTCTGGACTCCCTGGATGAGTTCCTGAACATGTGGCATCGATGTCCGCACGCTTCCACAATCTGCTTGAGGGGAGTGCGCTCAGAGATAAACCTGTGCACGCTGCCGTTGAAATCCTCTCCGTGGGTCAGCAGGACCACTGTGCTGTGTCTGATCCTCCAGCCCAGCTTGTCCTCCAGCCTCTCTAATATTCCCACTTCGCTCTCAGTGAAGCGGCCCAGCTGTATCACCAATAACACCACACATCTGCCGGGCTGACAGAACCTCTTACACTCCTCTATCTTGGCCTCGGGGTCATCTAGCTGCTCGTCGAAGAAGTCTGGGGTGTCGACCAGTCGAATCACTTTCCCTAACATCTTCACTATAACGGCCTGGCACGTTGTGGTGACCGGACTGGCACTCAGCCTGGATAAAAAGAGGGTTCTCAAATCCAGGTTCTTGTTCTCGGCAGTCAGGATGGTGGTTGCGGATGGCGC